TATAGTATAGTGGTGGTCTGCAGCAATGGTGTTCCACAACCACCTACACAGACCACTGCACCGCATAGTGTAGTGGTCTTTGGTAGACCACTGGGTCGTTGACCCAGTGGCCTACCAGAGTTCGCGGCACAGTTTACTATCCCCCCCCCCCCCGGACTTCTGACCCAGAAAGTTAATCGACTATAAGAATTCAAACTCATTCCCTTCGTCAGCAGGAAGTGAAAAATTAAGGATCAAAATGCAACTTAAGCCCAACATTTTGTGAGGACATTGCTATCTTCTTCAGTACGCATTTGACCATTCTCGGACACTCGAATATTAACTTCGGTATGCCATATTCCCCTTATACCAATACGGGGTTGAATATTCAAATATGCATCATGCAAATGCTCAGCTCTTGTGTGCGTGCACTGTGATCGCTGGCGATCGAGGGCAGGACACTGACGCGACCCCGCTCATTATAAACCTAGTACGTTGATACATGATGACTTTATGCTGCTCGCGTCGAACACCATTGCCGCAGATGTCCCTGAGCAGGAACATCCATATCCGTATCCGTTGGCACTACTTGTGCCAACAGTGCCATACATCCCGATAGTCCGCAGGCCCGACAACCGACATCGCTTCGATACCGACTAGCAGATGCGCTGGAACTCAGACAGGCGCCGCGACAGTCCCGAGTCACACCAAAGGCGCTCACGTGTCTCCGACTCTGAGGAGAGCGGGCGCAGGAGACGGCCGCGTGGCGTCAGGGAGACGGCGGTGCGGGAGACGGCCGCGTGGCGTCAGGGAGACGGCGGTACAGGAGACGGTTGCGTGGCGTCAGTGAGACGCGGCGCGGGAGGCGGCTGTGTGGCGTAAGTAAGACGGCGGTGCGGGAGAAGGCTGTGTGGCGTCAGTAAGACGGCGTGAACAGAAGGCGGCTGTGAGGCGTCAGTAAGACGGCGGTGCGGGAGAAGGCTGTGTGGCGTCAGTAAGACGGCGTGAACAGAAGACGGCTGTGTGGCATCAGCAAGACGGCGGCGCGGGAGCCAGCAGCACCGCCGCGCCAAGTGGCGAATCACGCTTGACATGGCGACCGCTGAGCGAATGTATCAGGATCAGAACCACAAACTCACTTCGGCTAGCACTGCCACACGAACGATGCCCACTTCAAGCACGCAGAATACGCCTATTGCTCCCATGCAGATGTAAGTCACAGAGGTACGAGGTACACGGGCGTACCTTCAAAGAGCGAGACGGGCCGGTCCGGGGTGCGGCAGCCGTGGCGGCCGTACTCGGAGCACCACTCGGCGAAACGGCACGCCCGGTACAGGTCGCGCGGATCCTGTCCAGAGGATATAGGGGGGGGGGGGGGAGGGTCACACGCCATGTCCGGTACGGGTCGAGGGGACAGCAGGTATACGCTCTACGTTCTGGTGTTAGCCGTGTCCCGCTCGGAAACGGCGAAACGTAGCACTCTTGAGCTGTGGCACAAAACGGCACGCAAAGCTGTCAATCATGGCGATGTCCACTTACCTTGCAAAACAAAAAAATCCCAGGGCCGAGGCAAGCTTAACTTTAGGCCTAGTCGCGCAAAAATGTGACAGCAATAGCAACTGCTCGTTGTACACGCGCCATAGCCGGGCATCAACACAACTCTACGATGGCGACGGAACGAACGTCGAGTCGGAAAACAAAGACCGCACATACTTTCCAGAATGTAATCATCGCCAGGGAGTGTTCCGCAGCCAATCAGTACGAAGCGACAGCACCGGAATACCGTAACCGATCGGTATCAATCCCCGGCACCACCCATTCAAGTCTGCTGTGAATTACTTAGCGCGTCCACTAGCGTCAGCGGAGCGGGCCTCCGCCCGGCGCCCGCTCACCTGGGTCAGCTGGTGCAGGTGCAGGAACGTATAGGCGTTGCCGGCCGTGCCGTGACAGAGGCCGTAGCCCTTGCGGAGGAGCCCGCGCGCCCACACCAGATCGGCGCTCTGGCGGGCCAGCTGCAGGTACCGCTCGTCGCCAAACGTCTGCCGGCGCAGCGGCCCGTCGATACACCGCACGCACAGACACCGGCGCCGGCGGGCGCCAGCTGCAACACTGCACGGCGCCTCCCAAACAACAGTAAAACAGCGCACCGCGCCAGACCTGCGGCCGCCTGAGCAGCACCCCACCCACCCGTGGGGACGGGATCTCACTGCCAGCTCGCAGAGCCGAGGAGTCGATGCTCAACACCGACCGGCCACACCGCCATCGACTGCAGCCAACGGCCCATCCCCGGCGGCGTGCGGCGGCGCTCCGTCCAGCAGTCCGGCACTCCTCTCAGCCAGGCTCGGTGTCACGACCTGACTATATGACCGGCATCCGGAACACTCGGCCAACCAGACAGAGGCACGTGCAGACGGCATATGACGAAGCTCGGCACGCGCTAACCCCTCTGGTCGCAGCTAAACCATTCCATTCAGCACGGGCCACAGTCAGCACGGGCCACAGCCAGCACGGGCCCCCACCCGCGCGTATACCGATAGCTACCACTCCCACAACCGTCCATACCGCGGCGTGGAAAACGCACCGGAGTCAAACCAGCAACTAGCTTCCTCATTTACCGAGTATAACACGGTCGACATAAAAAAAGATAAGTGCGGACAACCAACAATGAATGATGGATCGGATGATCCAACACATCACGTCAAATGTCCCCCCCCCCCCCCCCTCCCGCCCCCAGGACGGGGACACCGACAGCAAAGATCAGGTCACCGGTGTCTCAGCCCCACCCGGCATCCCAGACCAAACGTGCGGGGGAAGCCGAGGCGTCGGTGTCTCAACCATACCTGGTACGCCAGACAGAACATGTGGCAGAAGCCAGGCGCGCCGTGGCACCAGTGCACGAGCCGGTCGGAAGTGCGACTCTCGAGCGAGGACGGATAGTTGCCGGAAGGCAGCCGTAGCCCAGCCAGGTAGTCCACTGTCGGCCGGACCAGCTCGGCCAGCGCAGGTGGCGCCACCAGCTGCGGCACCTGTCGCCAGAGGCGGCCGTGTGGCGCCGGCAGTCACGGACATCCTCGCGCAAGGCCGTCACCGTGACGGCGGCAGCTCACACTCCACACGCACGCGCCCAGCGATCGTACAGACCAGTCTGCCGACACCCCGCGGAGACCGGCCATGAGTCCGGACACGACACTAGGCTACGTGGCCTGCTCCCGGCCGGTGCGCTGGCGCCTCCGCGTGCCGGCGCCCGGCCGCCGACCCGGCCCGTGCCGGCGCTCGCCTGCAGCAGCAGCGACAGGATGCCGCAGAGGCCGTGCGCGGCGCCCAGGTAGTGTTTGTCGTGCCAGGCGTACATCAGCGGGCACGGCGACCGTTCGCGCGCCGCCAGCCGGGCACCGCTGGACACGATGGCGGACACCGTCTGACGACAGGAGAGGTCCCGGTCAGTCGGAGAGCCCTGCTCTTGTCACCCCACCCCGGGCCGCCAGCTGAGCACCGCTGGACACGATGGCGGATACCGTCTGACGACAGGGGAGGTCCCGGTCAGTCGGAGAGCCCTGCTCTTGTCACCCCCACCCCGGGCCGCCAGCCGGGCACCGCTGGATACCGTCTGACGATAGGAGAGGTCCCGGTCAGTCGGGGAGCCCTGTTTTAGTCACCCCACACCCGGGCCGCCAGCCGAGCACCGCTGGACAACCGTCTGACGACAGGAGAGGGTCCCGGTTAGACGGGGAGCTCCGCTCTTATCACCCCACCCCGGCCGACAGTCGGGTACCGCTCGAGACGATGGCGGGCACCGTCTGACGACAGGGGGAGGTCCCGGTCAGTCGGGGAGCCCTGTTCTAGTCACCCCACCCCGGCCGCCAGTCGGGTACCGCTCGAGACGATGGCGGGCACCGTCTGACGACAGGGGGAGGTCACAGCCGGTCCGCGCGAAGCCAGCCCTCGAAACAGTCCGACAGCGAAACGTTGATCCAGGCAGTTAACAGAAAATGGAGGAGCTTCAACAACGCGAGCTTCGGGAATTGGCTCAAACATTTATCACGACCATTACGCACCGCAATATCTTGTAGTTAGTCACATACACCTATTGCACCTGGGGCAAGGCTCACCTTTTGCATTGCCTCTTCTAGATTCGGCACGTCGTTTCCGAACGTGCGACGGATATAGAGGAGGGTGGCCAGGTAGCCAGCTCGTCCATACAGCAGCTCATCCGGCAGCGATGATGACTCTTCCACCGCAAATGCCAATTTCATCACACTGCCGGACACAGGAGACTGTGCACCAGAGCCAACACGACAGACTAGGGCCTCCTTGAAACATGCCGAACTGGAACCCATACCAGCAATCAACATTTCAACATTTAGGAGCATATGGCCATAAATCCTGGCCACTGGATCTATATCAATAACACCGCAGCACCAGCGACATTGTTTTCTATAAATGCAGCATGGAATGCACTCAAAGCTCATAAACTTGCAATAAGTTTTGGGTGTTTTGTAAGACAGCCTAGCCCGGCCATCGCACCTGAGATGTAATGAACGCGTTCTGACCACCTGCTACACATCACTGGTCCCGGTATCACGCCATTATATCGAGTTCCCAGACTGTGTGGTCGGAGTAGAGCGGCGGGGCGACAGCAGTCGGCGCACCAGGCTGCAGCACTGCACCAGCGGCGGGTCCACATCAGAGGCCTGGCATCAGATGGAGCCGGACGTACGTTGCCAGTCGGCGGCGCGCCTCCTCAGTGCGCCGCTCCGCCTGATGGACGGCGGCCGTGACAGCCACGACCCCGGCGTCCCCACACAGCAGCGTGGGCCGACGGTGGCTGGGGCGCAGCGACGGCAGGCGCTGCTCCAGCTCGGCCGCCCTCTGCCATATACCAGGAGGTGACACCAGGGGCATTTCAGGGGCAGAGCAGGACTGCACAACAGGACCATGTGTTGTGAGGTGACTGGTGCACTATCAGGAGCAGGCTTCAGGAACCAGCCTTTATATCATAACTGGGTCAGTACTGCATGTCAGGAGCTGGCATCAGGATCAAACTGACACCACAGCTGATAACTGGACCAGGACTTCACAACAGGACTGAACCAACACCACACATCAGGAGCTGGCCAGCACTGCCCATCACAGCTACATGCCAGCACTGCAGCAGTTCATGCCAAACAAGGATTCAGCCTAGGGATCTGGGTATATGGACCTAGAGAGTGAGCTCATATTGTCTTGCATGGGGCATTCCCATTTAAAGGTATAACAGCAGTCCTTTACATCATGTGGAATTTGCAGGCTGGGGTCAACAGACCATTTCAAACCAACACTCAGTTACAGTCACTGACAGATAAGCAGCTTATCACATCTGAGCAGGTCAGGGCACTGGAAGTGTGCACACATTAAATCAAGCAGATTGCTCTCCTTCTGCTGTTCTGCAGAATGACATCATTGGGGGGGAGGGGGGGGTGAATCACAGCACAGCACACAATGCTAATGCCATTACCTGAAGGTACTTAGTGTCGCTAGTGACTGAGTTCAGGTGCATGAACAACAAAATCAGTCCAGCTGTTCCTGTGTAAACACTGCTGTCATCCCAGTCGGCATCACGCTCCATGTCTGCCTCCAGTCTGCCCAGCAAGTCTTGAATCCAAGACTCCAAGTGAGTTTTGAATGCAGGAGCCAGCTGTAAAAGTCCCCCATGAGATGCAAAATAGATACTGCATCATGTTCTGCACTATATCAAAAAATGCTTGCATCCCATTTTTCTGCACACACACCTTTATTCATATTCCAGGTGGATAAGACTGGTGACAACCAAAAGCTTCATTAGTTTTGCATTCTGATGCAATGACCTGTGCCATGACATCACAAGATGAGAATGGGAATTTATCATCAAGAGCCTGTGCCATGACATCACAAGATGAGAATGGGAATTTATCATCAAGAGCCAAGAGCCCAGTACACTGCTATGCCACAGTTTGTGCACCTCCGAAAAAGACAACGCATTTACCCCTGCAATCAGCCGAAGCAAACTTACCCGCCATGAAGTTCCGTCTTTTACCAATGGGCAATCTTTTAATGAAATATCAAAGTCATCGAACGGATTCCGAAACTCCCGCCTATCCGCACTCATTTTTCCACCAATGGCTGGCTGGGAATGAAGAAACAGGAACCTATCAACGATCAACCCGGGAGGCGTTGTATCGCCCTGACCCGGGAGAACCAGCCGCAGGACCCAATACCGCGATATGGGTGCTTTCCTCCACACTGTACGCCAATGCAGAAATCAAAACACCAATGACCTTGACCGACAAATTCCACCAAGGTTTGACAATCTGGTTCGAAATGTAAAAATGACGTCATAACTGCTCGGGGAAAGGCGAAATGGCTTTCGTTACGGCTGTCTTGTTTCTGTTGGTGGCTGGAGAAGAGTGCGGTGTGAAAGCACTAGCGGCGGTTTTTACCTCTGCGTGGGCGATCATTAGTCGTATATCAGAGTGAAACGAAGTCCGTAAGCATCATTCCAGTTGCGGTGACCATGCATTGAAAAAATTATTGTCTGGCGCAAACCAATTGTGTGAAGAAAGATGACGACGACTGAAGGGTGTCTTTCCCACGGTCGCACCGTCTCCTCACTGCGCTCCAAAAGATCGTCTCGTTTGTTCGCCACTTGCGCTCCCTTAGTTCCCTACAATTCCCACTCCGAACGGTCATGATGCGGTCACTGCCTTGCATCAAGACTCAACAGACTAGACTAAAGACTTAACAGTGAGCAGGGAGGCCAGCGCAAGCTCTGTGGAAACATGTATTGAGTTCACAAGTTCATCTGCGATAAACTCGCAGCGGCCCCCATACACTGAAAGCGTGTGCCATTATACCCTTCAGCGTTTAACAACATCCAGCCACCACAGCAGACCGCCCCAGATGAGCTCCACCGACCCCTTCCCTCCCCCACCGCTCAGCGGCGACCCACGCTCCCAGCGGCCTCATCACGGGCTGAAGAGCAGCTTGAACGGCGGCAGGGGCGACATGCCCAGAGGTGTGTCGCCGTGCGCCGCGAGCTGGCCAGACGTCTCCGGCGCGGTGGGCGGCGCCGTGCCCGGCTCGGTCAGCTCCGCAGTGCCGCCCTCGTCCCGCCCGCCGCTGCGCCACCTCACGCAGTATGGCCTTGCCCTCCTCGCGCGTCTCGGGGAACTCAGTGCACTTGGCCGCGTGGTGGGCCGTCTCGTCCAGCTGGCCGCGCACCAGGAAGTAGTTGGCCATGAAGCGGTAGGCCTGCGCCTGCTCCTCGCGGTCCCAGACGTCGGAGCCCTCCGAGTCGCGGATGTAGTCGGCGTAGGCGGCGGCGGCGCGCATCGGCTGCCCCAGCCGCTCGAACAGCTTGGCCAGTCGCAGCAGCGCGAAACCTGACGGACACGGCCGGAGGTGAGGTGCTACAGCGAAGTCATCTCTGACGGAGAGCGGCGGCAAGGGGCACTTCAGAAAGTCCACAAAGAGGAGTACAAGACAGTCAACGGCGTCCGTCTACTAAGCAAAAGTTTGCGGCACAAATAAGCAGAAGTATTGTTTGGTACACGAAAGATTACCGATGGATGCGAAATCATTTCCAAAGGTCAAAAAGAGTTCATGAGATACAGAAGACAACGCACCTCATCGGTCGGTTGAAATGATACAACTTCGGAACATCAAACCAAACGCAATGATGACTGACAGGGGTTCAGCTTCCTATTCAGTTCGCTGGGGGGGGGGGGGGGGGGGTGTGGGGGGGGGGTGGTCAAGCCCCTCGCCCAACTTAAAGGCGAAAGTGGACCACCATATCCTGGGAGAAACCCGTTTGTTAACGCGTTTCAGGATAGGTTTCTCATTTTTCACTGTTTACCCAACCCGTGAGGTCCTCTTAACGTAAAAACTCCCCGCGGTCACGATTGTCTTACACGAGCGGAGAAAAAGTTGTCCTTCGAGGGCGGTTGGCTCCGGCAGCACATAACCTTCCGCAAACGCTTCCTTTTGGCCAAATGTCAATCGTGGCGCAACCAATTCCAAACAGGCTAGCTAAAACAACAACAGGGGAAGAAGCTTGCTGACAAGCAAGGGTCAAGACCTCATCACCAGACCCACAGCCCACCTTCGATGTCGCCGATGCTGTGCGCTTTCCAGTAGCAGCGCTTGGCCTCCTGGAGCTTGTCCAGCTTCTCGTAAGACTCGCCCATCGCCATCAGCATGCGGCTGTCGTTGGGTCGCAGCTGGTGCGCCTGCTTGTAATAGTACTGGCAGTACAGCGGCATCTTCAGGATCTCGTACATCTGGCCGAGCCCGTACCAGGCGCGGTAGTCCAGGCGGTTGACGTCGATCGCCTGCCGGTAGCACTGGATGGCGGCGTTGGTGTTCTTCAGCTCCAGGTATTCGTGGCCCATAAGCGTCCAGGCAGCCAGGTAGCTGGAGTTCAGCCGCAGCGCGCGCTGGAAGTAGAGGATCGCCTTCTCGTGCTGGTTCTTCAGGCTGTAGTAGTTGCCGATGACGCAGCACGTCTCGACGCTGTACTTGTTGATCTGGGAGAGGTTGTGCGCCAGGTTGCACAGCTCCACCTGCATGCCCTTCACATATAACAGGTTGCTGTACGAGTCCATGTTCTCCATACGGCACGGGTCCGTCTTCAGCAGGCCCTGCAAAGACACAGAGCTAGTCAAAGAAGATCCTGATAACAATGCTGCGAAACTCTGGACAATCCGGACAACACTCCCCCGAGCCGGACGTAAGTAGCACGTGGTACGGACGCAGAGTGATGTCTCTCGTCTCCAGCCATGTCCGCGTCTGTGGCAGGGTCGGTTTCCACCGCCTGTGATGAGGGAACTCAATTCGTATGTCTATAGCCAAATACAACACAGTACCCCGACACTTGGGGTCAATGCTCGATCAAGGTCCGGTGATACAGAACCAGATGTGTCGAAGCGACCGAACCCGTTCTTTGCGTTCTTTGCCTACGATTCTTGAAGATAATTGCAGTACTTCGGCATGTGTAATTCGTGCATGCCGATGCTTTGTCTACATAGCAGGTGCTTACAAATGGACACAATCTATGAACACCTGCTCCCTACTTCAACATAGTTGTCAGCCTCATGTACACTCCAGAGCAAAGTTTCAAATCTGATTTCACCACGGTGCAACCAAAATCCGCCACTCTAACAGCACCCCCGTGCTCTCATCTGACGCCAATCGCCAGTGTCCCAGTCCACGGTGTCCTCCACACCCGCGCCGCTGGCCAGCGGTCCGGCCCGGGCGAGCACGCACCTGGAACACCTCGATGGCCTGGTCCACCTCGCGCATGTTCTGGTAGCCGATGGCGATCTGGGCGCTGATGTAGGCGGCGCGCTGCAGGCCCGCCTGCTGGAACCCCCGGTAGATGGCCAGCGCCTCGGCGTTCAGCTGCAGGTCCAGGAACACCTGCGCGTAGAACAGCTGGCGCATCCAGGTGTCGGGCAGCGTGAGCAGCGCCAGCATCTCGCGGTCGGTGACGAGCGCGGCCAGCTCGAGCCACGCCTGCCACAGCAGCGGCTGGCGCGTGACGGCGCGCACCAGCGCCTCCACCGCCGGCGTGCGCAGCTCCAGCCGGCGCAGCACCACGCCGTACAGGTAGCTGACGAAGCCGTCAGCGTCGGGTCGTGCGTGCAGCGCCTGCAGCTCTGCACGCAGCTCGGCCAGCTCAGGCGACTTGAGGCGCTGCGCCGGCGTCAGCGGGTCGGGGCTGTCCTCGGCGCGGCGCCGCTCCGCCGCCAGGTAGCGGGCGTACAGGTGCAGGAAGCGGCCGCGTCGGCCCACGCAGCGGCCGCTCTGGTGCGCCGCCCGGTCCAGCTCGCCGCACAGGAGGTAGTCGTGCGCCAGCTCGGCCGCCTCCAACTCGGACTCCGACTCGGACTCGGACTCGGCCCCGGGCTCGGTCTCGATGTCACCGATCGGCTGCGGGCGGAGCGATAGGTCGGGGGGACAGGCCAGACCCTGCAGGGACGGACCGGCGGCCAGCGCCGGCAACAGTCGGCTGCGGGCGGAGCGATCGGTCGGGGGGACAGGTCAGACCCTGCGGGGACGGAGCGCCGGCCAGCGCTGGCAACAGTCGGCTGCGGGCGGAGCGATCGGTCGGGCACACAGGTCAGACCCTGCGGGGACGGACTGCCGGCCAGCGCAGGCAACGGTCGGCTGCGGGCGGAGCGATCGGTCGGGCGGACAGGTCAGACCCTGCAGGGACGAACTGCCGGCCGGTGCAGGCAACAGTCGGATACGGGCGGAGCGATCTGTCTGGCGGACAGGTCAGACCCTGCAGGGACGGACTGACGGCCAGCGCAGGCAACAGTCGGCTGGCGGTTCATCGCACAACCAGACGCAAATGTGACTGGTCTAGCTGCATGCCTATGAGGCAGATGACCATTACTTGCGAGTACATTCCGTTATACTGACGGTGTGGACTCAATCAACAATATTCTGGAGTGAACAAACATTCAACAATTTTATGGGGGCCGCTGATTGAAAGTTAAGTTGAATACACACCTTACTTATATATTAATTAATACAGTTAGTCCAGTCTTAATGAAAGGCCTTGTGATATTAGTCTATACTAGGCAGGGCTTGTTGTATGAGACCTGCTCCCACCACACGATCGTGAAAGTCCTGTTCAATGTATGCTGCAACAGAAGTCTAACGTGCTGCAATGCTCGAAGCGATATCCCCCACCTTTTGACCTCGTCTGACTTCACACAACCACTTCCACCAGCCACAAACCATCCCAGCTAGAGGCAACTAGCAAGTGCCCATGTGAATAATCGAGCCCACACAGGAGCCCATATCAGTTGTGTACCTCACCATGGGCCTGTTGTGAGGTAGGTGCTATAACTGATTGACCCACTGTAATGGAAACATTACACATGGTCTGCAAAAGGATGAAGATGACTGGTAGAAAACTTACCTGTGATGCATCTTCTTTCACATCTTGCAGTGCCAAAAGCATCTCCCCACACCACTTGCTACAATGTCGCAAATACCGTTCTCGACATAGGCCACGTATGGTTCGAAGATCACGCTTCATTGATGGCAGGTCCAAGACTAGCTCTTCAACTTGTCCAGCCATGGTGCTTTAGATTGTCTGATGATCACTGGAGAAGAACTGTGTCACACTGGTTAGAGCACTGGCTCAGAGATGCCTGTCTCTAGTCTTAAGTCATCTGGTGAATTGTGTGTATTCAACAGCATGGCATAACCTGCTGCTGTGGTTATGCATGGTTACAGGAAATGTTTCACATTTGAAGATACTGAAGCAAGCATCAGACATGATGAAACAAGCTCACTTATACCTATTGGTATACTTTTTAAGTGGAAAACACTGCTCTAGACAGCACAACTCTCTGTTTAGTAGATATGACCCCCAATGCACCATGGCTTGGTACCATCATTATACCTTGGAAAACACTTGACTGAGAACCAATTCATTGCTGCTATGCCTGGAAATTGTGCTCATAAATGCCAGATATGAACAAATGCCAGGACATGAATGCCAAACAAATTATATTATTTTTGGCCTTGATTGGTTGCTTATGGAATGACAGAAATTGAATGACATAACTATGACATAATCAATGCCAAACTGGCTTTGAAATACCCTCCCCAAAAGCCTTTCCCCATTTTTGTGGGCATGCAGCTCATAAACTAGAGGGGCTTGGGTCTTAAGAAAGGCAGGATTGTGAACAGCACTGAAAGGTCTTCAAGATAGCTATTTCAATTCAATGCCCCATATCAATGTGGAACACTCCCCTCTGCTGAGCAGATCCAAAATGCAGGGGAAAGTCCAGCAGAGATAGATTGAAACACACCATGCATTACTTTGGGTTTTGTAACATCCATCTCTGTATCATTTCTTATGTTGTCAACAATCAGCCAGAAAGATAATGAATTGAAGGCAGCATCAGATTTTCCCAGAAAGTACCTGGCAGTCAGCCTGATTACCAAAGAACGATGGGGCCTGTAGGTCCCAGGCAGCCATAATCACCAGCAGCATGACCTATATGACAATTTTCACCTTTCAGACAAGATTGGCTTAGTAAAACAAGATTAAAAGCTAGGTTATGACAGGCCCACAAATCTGCACCACTCAGGGAAAAGATGATCTTGCACTGAACTAGCTTTATATGAATGCAGCAGAGTGAATCTTCAGCACACATGGGATCAAAATATCCATCACACTCATGCCACCCAGATTGCTGTTCCAATAAAACACATGGGCATAACCTATCTATAGCTGGGAGAGCAGTCAGCTTTCAGGTGCATCTTCCTGCAGTTTCTACACAACCAGTTCATACTTTCCGAAGGTTTAAGCTTTGCCAAAGTTAGGAATGAATGCCCCAGTGTGGCTCTAAGTCAAATATCATGGCGCAGTGCTGCGATGCTCAGCACAGTCCCACCTCCCCTCTGACATCAACTGATAAGCAGTCACAGCTTCTGCCACAAGTCAAGGGCACACAGCCAGCACATCAAGTGCCCAAGCCTACCCTTCCATGGGTGGTGAATCAAAAGGTAAGTGATCTAGCATGTTCTCAGCATGCTGAGATTGGTGGCAATACTGTGCCAAACTGCTGCATGAGACCTGAAATTGTTGCGGCAATTGCTATAGGTGCCCAGCCCTGAGGTATTCATTCCTGTAATTAGTGCAATTTATTTTGCCAGTTGTTAACATCAGCAAGTGATCTGGAATTGGAGTGGCATGAGATGCGCGCCCCTACCACTTACCGAACGGCATGAGATGCGCGCCCCACTATTTGCGGAACGGCATAAGATGCGCGCCCCACTATTTGCGGAACGGCATAAGATGCGCGCCCCTACTATTTACAACACCCGGCGGTTTCAATGCCCTGACCAGCTTTGACCAATCATGCCTTACGTTGCATAACCCGCCTTGGTACCAGTCCTTCCGGCGCCCACGGCTCTTCCACATACGCGCTAGATAGGCACCCAGCCCCTGTAATCAAAAGGCTCTCGCAATGACCGCCGTTTTCGTGCTTGAAGTGTGCAGAATGTTTACAGTGCGTTCATTAATGCTGAAAAACTAAGAAATGACCAATAATTTTCATGATAATACTAAACAACCAATCAAAACCATAATCTTTCGCTCGCACGCGCGTTTCAAGCACACTGACAACAGACAACCTTTGCTGTCGACTGCGTTGGTCTCGTCTGGGTCGCGTCAAGGACGTATGAGGCCCCGTGTTATTGTGCGGAAAGTGGTCTTGCTGACAAGTGAGCTTGGAAATTCTGCCTGGTGCGTATAGAGCTATAAGTTGCTTACGAGATTGATGCGTTCATTTCTGCTTACCTGAAGCCATGCTTAAATCCGTGAAATTTTGTGTAAGGTTTTGGCCTTAACGAAGTCCTCGAAAGTAGCAGCCAAGTATCATGCGGACATGACTGCCCTCATATGATCATACCATGATCTGCACATACCAATGGGTCGTGTGTGTGTGTGTGTGTGTGTGTGTGTGTGTGTGTGTGTGTGTGTGTGTGTGTGTGTGTGTGTGTGTGTGTGTGTGTGTGTGCGTGCGTGCGTGCGTGCGTGCGTGTGTGTGTGTGTGTGTGTGTGTGTGTGTGTGTGTGAAACCCATGTGCTCTGTTGTAATCTATGTGGCTTGTTATCTTTACTATGACATATGACATTTTGGCATTATTACAGATAATCATGTCAACAGAACACGATAAAGCAGTTCTCAACAGTATTTTAGACCCAACTCTACCACTGGGTGATGTTTCCAACTTTGATTCACTTCCTTCAGAGATATCAGCCATTGAGCTAGATGGTATGTATTTGATAGTGGACTTGGCATATTTTTGGGAATGTTAATGGCTTAGAATTGGCGGTACCACTCCTTTATCAGTTATCTCCATTTTTTATTGCCACTTGTTTTAGCATGCAAGTTCATTCTTGAGCTTAAAATAATGCCTGTAATCATAAACTTGGTCAAACTGATGCTTCACCAGCGATCTGTGCACATCATTTGTAATGTAGTCTGGCTGCCACCAAGTCATTGCTTGCACAGTTTGCTCATGCTGGTGCATCCAGTTCTGGCCAAGCTGTTGTTTGTACTGTGTGGCCCAGTGGTGCAGCCAGGCTGAACCAAGCCATTGCTTGTACTGCATGGTCTGGTTGGTGCGGCCAGGTCCAGCCGAGAGCGACTCGCCCGAAAGTCAGCGCTCGCGCGAATTGGAGCTGCAGGCGGTGAGGACCGCTGAGGAGGGGGACCAGGAGGCCGCGCTATGCCTGCTTACTGAGGCCGTCACGCTGGCGCCCCAGCGCGCCTCACCCTATAACAACCGCGCCCAGCTGCTGCGTCTCATGCACCGCAACAACGGTGAGCGGCGTTCAGGGAGGCCTGGACAAGGCGACGGGATGCTCCCGACCATTGGAGAATAGATCGCCCTCTCCTCCCCAGGCGATGGGTGGCGCTGGGCGCTGGCAAAGATGCGGTCTGTGATGCTGTTACAGAGGCGATGAGGGCCGCCGTAACAGATGTGGTGCGTGACGTCGTTACGGAGACGCTCCGTGACGCTTGCCGCCGGTACAGAGGCGCTCAGCGACGCCTGCCGCCGTTACAGAGCTTGGTGACACCCGTCGCCGTTACGGAGGCGCTCGGCGACGCCCGCTGCCGTTACAGAGGCGCTCGGTGATGCCCGCCGCCGTTACAGAGGCGCTCAGTGAGTCCCGTTGCCGTTACAGAGGCGCTCAGTGAGCCTCGTTGCCGTTGCAGAGGCGCCCATTAAGCCCCGTTGCCGTTACAGAGGCGCTCAGTGAGCCCCGTTGCCGTTACAGAGGCGATGGGTGACGCCGAGCGGGCGGTGGAGCTGAGTGAGGCGCGCGGCCTGGCCGGCCGCCAGGCGCTCTGCCAGCGTGCCCAGCTGCACCAGCTGGCCGGACAGCAGGAGCTGGCGCTTGACGACTACCGGCGCGCCGCGCAGCTCGGCAGCCAGTTCGCCAAAACTCAGGTGCGTTCGCCTTCTGCCGCAGCCACCGCGCGGACATTCGCGAGGTATGATGGCGGTCTTTGGTTTCCCGAAACGATGTTTTACGTGCTTTGTGGTTGGCACTCCGCGAACAACATTCTCTTCTCAGTGTATGCTCTCACAACTGTGTCGAACTCAAGCCTGAAATAATTTAGGTGCCATGAGTTCGAAAACCTATCTTTGTTTTATCTTGTATATCATGATTTTGATAACAAGCGTCTGTCGTACTTTCGCCTCTGCAGCTGGTGGCCCTCAACCCGTACGCCGCACTTTGCAACCGCATGTTGAGCGAGGTGATGAGCAAGCTGCGCGAGGGCGAGGTTAGCGGCCCGAAGACATGAGGGGGCGAGGCATCACCGACACGTAGAGCCGCTTGATGCCGCCACAAGCCGCGGCGGTACACGAGCTGTAGTGAAGGGGCGCAAATATGGTGAAGGTACGCTAACTGCAAATATTCCGTCCATAGTTCCGTCCGAAGAAGAACGGTGTCCCATGCAGGGACACGCTGTGTTGTACAAGTCCAGATGATGCTTAACGAGACGAAGCGCGCTGTCGAATGAGGTGAAAAGTCGTTCAGGTGTCCGGGGCGAGATTTTGGCTTAAGGCCTTCTTCTTGTCCGGACATTGTATGCTTTTACTGCGCTGTGCATCCAGCGATACGATTGTGCCATATGATCGGGCTGTGGCCGAGGGTCGTGCAATATACACCCCCGATCGTATGTGTCTGCCTTCTCACGTCTGGCTGTACCATGCACTGCCAGTCGCAGACTGTGGGTTGTGCCCACGACCCGGGGAACCGGGGCAGGCGGGCCGCTCGCCATTAGCCCGGTATCAGGCAGTCCGTGCCAGCTGCCTAGAAGGACCGGCCGTTCAAAAGCGGCCGGCGAGAGGCCTCACAACCCGTCAGACACCAGTGATTTATTTGCCTGCCCTGCGTGTACCTCGGCTTTGTGAGCAGGGCGCGGCGGGACGGGGGCGACCGGTGTGTCGGTGTGAGAGCGGCGGAGGGGACAGACCTGACGGCACGACACTGCACGATTTTGTCGCTGCACGGCACGGCCGGCGCGTCACGCCTCGAACGACTTTGTGATGAGGTTGATGCGTCGCATCTTGTCCTCGAGCGAGGATCGGCTGGCAGCAGTCTCCGCCGACACCTCGCGCAGCATGGCCTCGATCTCGCGCACCTGTCGGTGAGGCTCCGTCAGGCCCGGGGAGAAGCTGCAGCACGACTGACTCGATTCACACAGCGCCCTGGCTCGCAAGGCACGCTGGCTTGTCTGGCACCCCAGGCCCGACTCACGCGGCACCCCGTGCACGGCTCATGAAGCAAACCGGGCCCGACTCACACGGTACCCCGAGTCCAACTCGCGCGGCAAACCGGGCCCGACTCACACGGTACCCCGGGCCCAACTCACCCGGCAAACCGGGCCCGACTCACACGGTACCCCGGGCCCAACTCGCCCGGCAAACCGGGCCCGACTCACACGGTGCCCCGGGCCCAACTCGCCCGGCAAACCGGGCCCGACTCACACGGTACCCCGGGCCCAACTCACCCGGCAAACCGGGCCCGACTCACACGGTACCCCGAGTCCAACTCGCGCGGCAAACCGGGCCCGACTCACACGGTACCCCGGGCCCAACTCACCCGGCAAACCGGGCCCGACTCACACGGTACCCCGGGCCCAACTCGCCCGGCAAACCGGGCCCGACTCACACGGTGCCCCGGGCCCAACTCGCCCGGCAAACCGGGCCCGACTCACACGGTACCCCGGGCCCAACTCACCCGGCAAACCGGGCCCGACTCACACGGTACCCCGGGCCCTATTCACAGCGTCGTCACGGTCACAGACACATCGCTTGCTACCGGAGGCGGCTGTGCCAGCCGTGACCAGCCGCGACTAGTGCCCGTCAGAGGAGCGGTGCATCGTGTGCCTGCTCACCCGTTCGGCGCTCTTCTGAAGCTCGTGGTCCTTGGAGGCGCGCATGCCGTCCAGCTGTGCCTCGAACAGGCCGTGCATCTCGTCCATCTTGGCCTGATACTCGGAGTCCAGCGTCTGGCGGAGAGGGGTCTGCGCAGTCAGGGCCCGGGCACAAACAGCTATAGTGTATAACGGGCAACTCAAAGGTGCAGTTCGATCCGATTCATCTGGATTTGGCAGCACCGTCCAGTCGGACACGGACTTTGTAACAGGGCCAAGCCCGCCGTGGTGGTCCCCCACTAAGTGACGACTGGCACAAGGGTTTGGTACTGTTAAGAGGCATATGATTACACGACGGGCAGCTGCGGCCTCTCCCTCCACCCATCTGGAGCGCCAGGTGAGCCCCGCCTGCTCCCCGCAGTAGGGTAGCATCGCCATGACAACAGAGGCCGGCGCCCCCTGTGGTAACCTGCAGCTTCCTGGCGGCCTGCTTGGCCAGGTCCATGGCCCGGTCGCGCTCCTGTCGCAGGTTCGCCACCTTGTCGTCGTTCATGGACCTTCCCATCTTCACCTGCCGGCCGGGGCGGGGTCAGACGTCGCTGGATCCGACCGCTGACGTCACTGGATCACGGTCACGCCGGGCGTCCGACCTCTGAGCGGTGGAGAGGACTGCGACTGGTGCGCCATCGCTCCGCGGCCGGCGGCCCCGCACCGCCTGCAGTGGGGGAAGACGCGACCGCACCGCCGCTCGCCAGACCGCGGCCGCGGACTTCAGAACCGAATACGCCAGGCGGGAGCATTGACCACGTGCGGTCAGTACAGATGATCGACTCCAGAGCACTTTGCACAGAACCTTAGAAACGACCTGTCGCTCCGCCGTGACCGGGAGGCGACGCGGTCCTTCACCGGCCGGCCGTCTCTGACCTGGGTCTCCAGCTTGCGGATGAGGTCGACCTTCTCCTCCCAGAGCTTGGACCAGCCCTCGTTCTTCTTGGCGCAGCGGTCGAGCTCGCGTTCGGCGTGCTCCAGGCGGCTGATGAGCTGCGCCTTATTCTCAGACAGCCGGTCCAGCTCCACCTGCCGTCCGGCGGCGTTAGGTCGGGCACCTCAGCGCGGGGTGGGGTCCGCTCAGCACAGGACGGGGTCTGCTCAGCACGGGATGGGGTCCGCTAAGCACGGGGTGGCATCCCCTCAACATGGGATGAGCCCGCACAGTCCCCGCACTAGCGCACCACGAGGTGCGCTGGCGCAACTCGTGGTGCACCTCCACTCCCGCACCTTCGCCCATCACGTTAAACCCCTGCCCCACACCGCCATGTCAGATAAGCTTCCGGTCAGCCCTCGCACCACCGTAGACGTCCGTCCAGTCCCCCCGTTGCCTGTCTGGTGGCCGCTCGCTCCCCGCACCTGCAGCCGGTGACAGCGGCGCCGTTCCGTCTCCACCTCGGACGAGGCGTCGCCGCGGCCGCGGGACGCGGCGGCCGACTGCCGCAGCTGGCGCAGCTGGTCCGACAGCTCGGCCGCCTGCTTCTCCTTGGCGGCGGCCGCCTCCTGAGCCTTGGTCAGCTCGGCCCTGGCGGCGCGCGCCGACACCGGTCAGCCCCGAACGGCGCCCGGCCGAGGCTCGTCCGGCGTCGGGGGACGCCGCCGGTCAGGAGGGACGGGAGGGACCCACCGCCGCGGACGGCGCCCGGCCGGGGGTCGTCCGGCGTCGGGGGACGCCGCCGGTCAGGAGGGACGGGAGGGACCCACCGCCGCGGAGGTGGGACAGGCCCACTACGAGGGACCGGACAGACGCATTGCAGAGGACGGAGAGCCAACGTCAGGGGATGGGGGAGATGGACGGTGGTGTAACGGGGGACGCTGATGTCAACAGGACGGGCCACAGCTTCCCGCATGCGTGGACAGCTGTCGGATGTTGGCATGCAGGCAGTATGACGACACGAGCCGTAACCCGCGAATGCATAAGGAGGGCCGTAACCAGCGTGACAAACGGCGCGACAGGGCCGTTGGACAGTCGGCGGCGGCGAGACCGTGGGAGTTGCGTCGGACGGCCGGACGGACCGGAGCGCCGCACCTCAGCTGGTCCAGCTGCGCCTGCAGCTTGCCGGCGCCGGTGGTGTGCTCGGCCGTCATCTCCTCCAGCTGCTGCTTCAGCACCGAGAGCCGGGCGTCGCCGGCGCGGCGTAGCGTGGCCTCCTCCGAGCACCGCTTCTCCGTCTCCTCCTGTGGGCACCAGCCACACCGTTAGGTCGAGCCGGTGGTGCCACGGGACACACACCTCGCGCCGGCACCGGGACGCTCAGGGAGCGGCCTATAGCAAAGTTGAAGTCGAGATATAACCTTCAACAGGGAGTCGTTCAGCAGGCGTAGTCACATGTAACCGGGAGATCATAGCCCTCAAAGGTTCTCAGACACCCAAAACCCAACCGCGGCACTCTCTAAACCGCACGTGAGGTAACAATGGGCCGGTGGATTATTGGCATTGACATAGTCTCCGCTCATGTTTGGACTTAAATTCGTTGAGGCCACAGACAATGCTGCTCTTCTTAGGGAGAATTGAATGAAATCTCCTGAAGCCACCGACCGCTTTTGCATTGAGGGTGAGGGTGACGTACCAGCTTCTTCTTCACGCCGCCCATCTCAGCCTTTTCCTGCGCCTGTTTCTGCTGCGCTGCCTCCAGCTGTTTGACCTGCGCGGACCGGGCCGAGGTCACGAGTGTCCAACTTTGTGGGATGAGCAGCACCAGCTCCGAGGGGCTCTCGAGCACGGCGAGTCATAGTCACGTGTGACGGCGCAACTCACAGTGCTTCGTCCACGTTTTGCTAGGCTGTCGTGGCGTCTTGTCTACACTACACGACCGGACCGCCGGGGCAGATTTGTTTCGCTTATCGGGGTAAGCAGGCATGCCCATGGATGGATGTCATCACGTCTCCGCACCATGACGCTGGAAGCCGATGTAATCAGCGACACTCGTCACACCGATTATCGCGCCATCGATGCCCGCCAGCCTCCCCCGGCGGCCGCCGCGGCACGGGGCCGTACCTTGTTCTCCAGGAAGGCGACGGCGGCGCTGTGTGTCGTCTGGTCGTTCTTCCGCTGCGCCTCCAGCTTCTCGATCTCCTGCCGCACCGTCTTCAGCGTCCTGCGAGCGGCAGCGAAGAGCGCGTGACAACGCTGGCAGCGACGCGACACGATCCGCAGCCAGACAGCGAGCCACACTGTGACGGCTGCCTCAACGCAACTCACACGGACGCCGGGCAACGCGCGCAGACTGAAAGTCCAAGCGTTGCTGGGCGCTTGCAGCTGATGCGCCGCTCGCCAGCCGGACAGATTCCGTGTGCGTGCCTGCTAGTGTACTAGTTAGGCCTGTCAGCGTGCGCGCAGGCTGCTTTGTTGCGCGGGAGCCGGCCCGTCGGGCGTCGAAGCTCGTGAGGCCGGGGTGGCCGGACTTACTGGCTGAGCTCGGTGACCTTCTGCTCCTTCTGTTTGGAGGTGGCCAGCGCCTCACTCAGCTGGCGCTTCTGCTTGTCCTGCTGCTCGGCCAGCGCCGACTTTTCGTCGGCCAGCTCGGTGAACCTGCCGCCGCGGCCGGCCGTCGGTGGTGGGCCGGAGGGGGGTGGGACGGGGTGGGGCGGGGAGAGTCAAAATATTATCTAACACACAACCTCGGCAGTCAAAACATTTCCTAAGCGTAACTATCAATCGAACCGCCACCACCAATGTGTAAGCCCGCCCGTCTGCTGCCCTGCCTTGGATGACTGTGTGTGGCGGTCAGCCGCCGGACGTACCGTTCCTTGAACTTGGCCAGCGCGGCCGTCATCCTCTCGCTATCTTTGCGCAGGCCGTTCGCCTCCTTGTCGGCCTTGGCGCGGACGGCTGCCGCCTCCTTCTGACAGGCGGCGCGCGCCTCCTCCACCGCCTTGGAGATCAGCTTCTGCACGGTCGGGTTGTCGGCGCAATGCCTGGCGCGGGCGCGGGCGTGAGGCGTGAGAGCGTGAGGGTGTGAGGGCGCGAGAGCGTGAGGGCGTTAGGGCACGAGAGCCTTACGACCTGCACCGGCGGCCCTGCTACCTCCCCACGATCTTCGCCGGCGCAGACTCAACACGTATACAGCAAACACTCCTAACGAGTTAACGCAACACGCTGTGCCGTTTTTAAAAAGCGGATCAAGTAAATGAGGAATCCCAACGTGTTAGTGTGGATGTGATGTGGGAATTAACATTTAATCATTGTGCGCATGAATGCGCAGAAGGTTTGGCCCAAGCGCGGCTGCTGGCGTCTACGGAACCAATCACTTTTTCTTCATCTCAGCCATGTGCTGCTTCTCCCTCTCGGCCAATAGGTCCTTGAGCTCGCTGATCTTCTGCGCCTGGCTGGTGCCGTCCGTCTTCAGGTGGTGGAGATGCTCCTGGGCCATCATCAGCTTATTGGTCGTCTGCAAATCAGAGGAAACGATGAATCGTCCACCAGGCGAACGTCACGAGTGCCGCCCGCATGCTGGCACTGGCGTCATAACAGGCGGGAATGTGTTGTAACCGAGCAGTGCTGGGCACGAGGCCCAGAACGAGCGATCTTTAAGGCCCGATCACCACACACAGGCGCTTGGCCCGACCACCACACACAGGCGCTAGGCCCGACCGCCACACACAGGCGCTTGACCCAACCACTACACACAGGCGCTTGGCCCGACCACCACACACAGGCGCTTGACCCGACCACCACACACAGGTGCTTGACCCGACCACCGTACAAAGGCGCTTGGCCCAACCACCACACACAGGCGCTTGGCACGACCACCACACGCAGGCGCTTGGCCCGATCACCACACACAGGCGCTTGCACCGATCACCACACGCAGGCGCTTGTCCCGGCCACCACACAGGCGCTTGCCCCGACCACCACACACGGGCACTTGGCCCAACTGCCACACACAGGCGCTTGACCCAACCATCGCACACAGGCGCTTGGCCCGACGTCGGCCTGGAACGAAGCGGTTGTGCAGTAGCCTGAGCGGTACGAACCAGATGCAACCCCGTCCTACGAAGCACAACCACCGGAGACCCAACTGCCAAGAAGAATAACCGAGATATTACTGGAGTGAATCATGAACTACCAGTGCAGGGGAAGGGGGGTAGTCGTCCTTCCGTATGCACTCCCAAGCGTGATTTGCATCACAGCCTTGCTCACAGCGATGCCGCTGACACCGAAGCTGCTGCTGCCGCAGCTGCTTCCACGACCAATCACAGTGGAGATCATTCAGAAGCCCAGCGACGCAAGCGCGTAACCTCAGCAAGTGACGCGCCCTTAAACCCCAGTCACTGCTACAGGAGCCCAGCGCGGGGGTGGAAACTGCGGGCGTGACGTCATACTTACGCTGCAGGTACCCCTGAACAGAGCTTCAGTTACGGCAGCAAACAGGTAGGCCATGCTTACTGTGACACCCTGAGGCGAATGCGAAGCGTCGTAGTGAAGATCATAGCTGCAGGCAAACTCCCAAGTTGTCAGATATTACTCTTTTGTGAGTGGATGGTGATTCTATCGGCTAATATATGAACATGCCATGTTCAATTTGCGGGCACTGGTCATGGCACGGGTTAGCCTCATTTAAGGGCGGTGGCAGCAGCTCCCTGTGTTCAGTGTGCCCTCCCCCCCCCCCCCCCGCCTACCTAGTGCTCGAGCGAGGCTGATTACCGGCCGCAGCGGCACAAGTGCCGTGGCCATGCCTCGCGACTGTGCGTCTGGACTACGAACGAAGCACCGCCGACTCGAATGCAGCTTCGGTTGCCGTGAAACGCGAGAGTGCCTCCGACGTCGCGAGCCTGTACCGCCCAGCCCGCCGCAGAAACTCCTCTCGGGAGACGTGCGGCCGTGTTCCCCCACCGCAGCACAACGTCAGCCACCCCGCTCGTGCCCTGACTGTCACCCGTCCAACGCCTTCCAGCCAGCGCTGCGCGACCGCCGACTCTACGCTGGCGGCTGCCGTCGGCGGCAGTCGGCCGTCGCGCCCCCGACCGGCCAGACCGCGCGGCCCGTACCGCGTGCCCCTCGTTTTGAGCGTCCTTGAGCCGCCGGTCGCGGTCGTCCAGCGCCTGCCGCTGGATCGACAGCTCCAGGTCCCGCTTCCGCACACACTCCGACATGACCTTCAGCTTCAGCTGCAGATCGCTGCGGTCCTCCTGAGGCCGAGGTCAGAGTGCAGGTCAAGGGCGATCAGAGGCGGCACGGCTGATGTCATGTCATGGCATGTAAGGTACCCCACCGCCGAGCTGACACTTCTACACCAGCTAATGACACAACAGCACTGGAAACCTACACTAGAGCGCAAGTAGATGATACTGCTGCACTTATAGATGGCACGACTGCACTAGAAGATGACACTACTGCACTAGTAGATGACATTGCTGCACAAGTAGCTGACACTTCTGCACTGACAGCTGACATAAGTGCACTAGTAACTAACACAACTGCACTAGCAGCAGACACAAATGCATCGGTCATGCGTGCATGATATCGGAGGTTGAGTGACGCAACGAAAGACAACGGTGCGATCCTGCCGGTGGAATATCATTTAGGCAGTCTTGCAACGACCCCGTGCGACCATTGCGCTCGATGCGGTGCGCCGCGCGCCGAAATGAGGTACGTGCAGATGGCTAATTACGCGTAAGGTGTCACGTAACTTATTCTCGTACCACGTCAGCGCCGTGAAATGGGTGTCGATGAACACGACACAATCAGGCCCTGCAGCCAGCCCAGGGACAAAGCCGTGTTTACCGTCCAGTCGGACAGGACACATTAATTCACGGCGCCACCCCATCAGTGCGCCTTATCGCCCGTGGTCACCAGCCTTCTGCATTAGAGGGACCCGTTCGTGGTGCAGTATCGCGCGTCTCGCGGCCGGCAAGCCCGCGCCCACCTCTGAGCGTCGCAGCTCTCGGGACGTCTTCTCGCGGGTCGACTCCAGGCGTACCGTCTCCTCCTTCATCCTCTGGATCTCGTTCTGGGGACAGACCAGCATCCCTCAGTCCTGGGAGGCGCCCCCTCCCCCCCCCCCCCCCCCCCCCCCCCGACAGGACATCGGCGTTACATCGGACATTGGCTTTGTAGCGTCACACTCTGGCGATGGAGACCGTCTCCGGAATTTGGAATCTGCCCCTCTCGCCATCAGTTTCCCCCCCCCCCCCCCCTCAACAAATCTCAGTCGCCGGAGGATACATCCGTTCTCTGTCGGTTCTCAACGACTCTGCTTGCTCCCTGACAGAGGGCCCCATTAGGCATTGCCGTACTCACTGCCAGCCCCCAGCAGCCACGCTCCGTGTGGAGCTGTTTCCGCGTGCGTCGAGCCGCCGCTACAGGCGGCCGCGGACTGGTACGGCCGTGTAAAAGGACGACAGTGAAGCGGCTCCAAAGCCCTAAATTGACTTTTCGTTCCGCCGCTGATGCAGCCGACCATGGGACCCAGCAGCAGGGCTTCAGTGTCGGCCACCGCGGTGTAACTGCTGTCCATCCGCTTCATTCCGTGTGTTCCCATCGCCCGTCCGTGACCAGGAAACGCCCGGGGGATGACCGGAGGATGACGGGGGATGCTGGTGCAGTGGCCAGGAGATGACGGCTGATGACTGGAGGATGACTGGGAGATGACTGGGGAATGACCGGAGGATGACGGGGAGATGACTGGGGAATGACCGGATGCTGACCGGCGGTGACCAGGAATGACCGGATGCTGACCTGAAGATGACTGGGGGAATGCCGGTGCCGTGCCCGGGGGATGACTGGGGGGATACCGGTGCCGTGCCCGGAGGATGCCCGCTGCGCTCATGGCCCGCGAGGCGGCCACGGAGGCCGCCTGGGCTGATTTACGGCCGGTGCCGGCTCGCTGACGCGTCCCATGTGTCACGTCTCGGAGATACTGCTCCGGCCGGATCGAATCTCGTACATCCCCGCCTCATACAAGCCCGCTAAATCACGGCCGGACAGAGCTGGTCTCGTGTGTCTCCTTCATAAGGAAGAGGTGAAGAGGAGTCAAGCCAAGCATGACAGCAATGTGTGCCGCTCATGCAGCGACAAACCCGAAACGTTAAGTGTGTGGATTGGGGTGGGGGTCACGTTGCACATAATATCTTTCCAGTGAATAACCAATCCTTCAATGGAGCCGTTGTGAAGCGGTTTTCGTGATAGCCACAGGCATCCAGCTGGAAGTCCATATTATATTCTCATTACGCAAAATCCGTCATTTCGGAGACTGCCGAATGTGCTGACATTTTCCCGGCACGTCAACAGATCAGCCAGTGTGGACGACGTGGCTCTCCAACAGCTCCCAGCAGCCGCGTCCATGTCACCGCGACGTCCGGTCCCCACGCCGCCGCGCGCGAGCCGGACCCCGGCGACCCGAGCTCACCTGGATGTGCGCCAGGCCCGACTTGAGCTTGTCCCGCTCGGCCTCGGTGCCGCAGAGGGCCTGGCCTAGGGTGGCCGCCGTCACCTCCTGCTTGACACGCTCGCGCTGCTCCTCGCGGTACCGCTGAGCGCCGCCGACCGTCGGGTCACGGCACGCATAGTCAGACGAGCACACACGCTTGGCGAACGCACGCGCCGCCGTAGAGCGGGGGACGGGGGGGGGGGAGGGGGTCGGACGTGGTGAGAAGAAGTATCCGTCAGCTGGTAGATATCGGTTCACCAGGCGTCGGAGGACAGCCTGAACGGTCACGACTGGTACATCGCACGGGTCACCGACAAAGCAACGGGTCAGACGCTACAGGCAGCACACTGATGCCGAAGGTGCGTTCGCGCCGCACCAAACCCTATCACCAGTACGCGCCGAATTCAGGAGGCAACGATACAATATCAGTGTTGCCATCTCTTAAAACGCGTTCCTGTCACGTGGCACGGGTCTGAAACCGTCGCCCAAACGGCATACTCCCGGCGTCCGGTGTCGCGGGACGGCAGGACGGCAGCAGGTGCCTGACGCGACAGGAGCACGCAGCAGGGTGGTCATCACCTGAGCGTAGGCGTTGCATAGCTTGCACTGCTGCGGCGTGAGCATGGCGAGGATCTCCGGGTCGGACGGCAGCTCGGCCGTCATCGCCTCCGAGTCTGATGTCGACCTCTCGCTGGCGCTCACTGACAACGCGGAAACGATGTCACGCACGCGGCGTGCGGTCGCAGATGCTGTGGAAATCACCTCCACAAATGTTCACCAGATATTCTGCTGAACGTGAGCGATATTGGAACAAGGCGCGTTCCGGCATGTCACGTGCATGGGCAAGGAACAGGGAGCAATAGCCACTTTCGTTAATGGCTTTTGCGTTAAATGTTTTAAACAGTTCGTACTGTTTAAAATGTAATGTTTCGACAAGTTGTACAGAAACGTTTAGGCTCCCCAGGGATTGTCAAGAATCATTTCCGGAAGAAATGGCCCTCTTAAATGAGAAAAAATTAAAGGAAGCTGTAGGTGTTGGACCGCAACCACGCAAAAAAGTGAGCATCCATGCACGACTTAACGAAACATTTTGGAATCTGTCAGGCCACTTTACGCCCTAAACCTTCGTGAAAAAGTCAACGCCACTATTCACATACGAATAACGGATCGGCAGGCACATGAACACGGCGACGATCGCCCCCGTCGCTGATGGGCTGGAGCGACGCCTCGGTGGGATCAGCTCCGACAGCGGCGCCCACCTGCGAACGTCACGCGCTTCTCCCTGGATCCGTCCTTCACGGGCGGCGACGGAGACCGCGACTGCTGCGACGGCTGCGGCTGCGGCTGCGGCTGCGGCTGCGGCTGCGGCTGCGGCTGTGGCTGCGACTGTGACGATAGCTGTGAGGACGACCTCATCGCGTCCAAACGCTGCTCAAGCCGCGAGATGCGTCGCTGAACGCCGTCGTCGCCTTCGCCGATCGGCGCGCTGGCCTGCCCACCGCGCAGGCGTCGACAGGCGGAAGAGACGCATACAGGTCACAGTGCAGGTCTTTCAGCCGACCTCCCAAGTGCACGACAGCTGTCGCTCGTGGGACACTCGAAAGCTCGGGAGACACTCGGAATTTTGGGAGACACTCGAAGTTTGGAGACACTCGGAAGCTTGGGAAACACTTCGAAGCTCGGGAGACGTTTAGAAGCTTGGGAGATACTCGGAAGCTTGGGAGACACTGGAAAGCTGGGGAGGCACTAGGAAGCTCGGGAGACGCTCGGGCTTCCTCCCCAGAAGGTTAATTTTCACCGCAAACCAAATTGATCCACTTATTAGGCTGGAAATCTACGTAATGTGCTATAATCCCGCCAGTCCATAGAATATTGTTGACATACTTGCGAAAACATTGCAACGTTCCCAACCGAGAGTAAGGATGTATTTTGAGACGCACACAGCCTACTTGTTCGGAGTGCTGCACTTGTCATAGACACCATCGTTTACACGTCTCGGCAGGCTATTTCTCTGGGACCGTCAGGTGCAAACAGGACCAAGCAAGCAGGTCGGTGGCCATGAACAGGACCTCATGCTGTTTAACGTGCTGTTATGTATGTGCCTATCCTTGAAAGCGTTTGGCGGCTTTGAGCTTCGAATCTAAGCTGCGGCGATTGGTGGACTCGCGCTCCAACCAATGGACCGCCAATCACGAAACGGGTGAACGGTGCTACTGCTGCCGACCAGGATAAAAGACTAGCTTTTCGTCTGCGCTGGATCCCCGTCCCACCGATTCCATAAAGTTGTCACTGCGATGTACCTGTGTCTCATTTTTTCTAGCTGCGGAATCTTCGTTGCCTGATTTGTTCATGGGTGTGAGCAGGAACTGGATGAGTGTGTCCGGGTCCGGCAGAGATCCCGAGCCCTCGCTCCACATCGTTCCCTGCCGAGCGCCAAGCACACCGCTGTCAGCCTGCCGAGTGACGTCGCTGACAGCGCCATCGTCGACCGCACAGCGACAGCACACAGTTGCCCCGCTGGCCTGCAATGCATCCGGTGAATATACGCACGATTCGGCGGCGGCGGAGTATTGGCTGACGTCATAGTGCGCGCCATTACAGAACCGTCAGCACTGATTCAGGGCCGACTGCTCTCGTACCGCCAGACCGAAGAACCACATGCAGAGCTTCTTAGGGTGCCTTCTCCGCTATTGCGGGCAACTTTGATAAGCAATGGTGCCGATCCCTAAGCGTCACAACTCATTCATATGCCTGCTGTCTCCTCCAACCGGCACGGTGCTACCGTTTGACACGTTTGAAACGCGTGCCGCCGCTAGCGATGGGGGCATTGGAACCTGGGATACGGGCGTGGTAGTGCTGGGCTGCTCGCCTAATTCCGACGCATCAGGCCTTTTGTTCTGGGTCAATTTCAAGGTCGCCACTGGCCAAATTCAGTCATGCGGGCCGCGGTCATACCTGAAAGTATGTTGCTCCCAATGAGGCTTCTTGTAATTCAAATTAGTTATGACGAGCTAATTCATGGTTTTGCCATACTACAAGTGATATTATTGGCATAAGAGTTGGGCGGGTTAACGCCCGGTTTGCGTTATCTGAGGTCAACTTAGCATGAAACACATTTCACAAGCCCACCACCTTCAGATCACCTATACGGGCTTCGATGGGTGTTTTGTATGCTGATTCCAAGGAAATGTTCGTCTTGGAGAAGTTAAAGTTGATCTGCGCATGTCTTGAGTCATATCGGTTCACGCAAGGTAACGCGTGCTGTATGCTGCAATGTATTCCGCAAACCAATCAATCTGGAAACGCCAACACTAAATATGCTCGACCATCTTTTACTTAATTCAATTTACCCGAGATTGCCAGGCTACGTCAGGGATCAAGCCAATTATCGAGGCAATCTAAATGACTTGCTACATAGGCAACGCACTTTTTGCACGACTTATGAAATATGTCGTGGGTTAAATTCTTAGCCAACCAGACTGCTGCTTTTTATTATAGCCTTCAGTGCTATGCTTTCACGCACTGGGAGTTGCATTTTTTCACAACTCATGTACATAGAAGTGAACTGCGAGTCCTCACCACTGGCAGCTTTAGCGCTGACTATCGCAAACGACGCGAAACTCTCGAAAATTAAGACAGCCTCGAATTAACAGCGCCGTAGACTCAAATACGAATGTCTCAAATACTAGAACCTGCAGCATCTCGGTAACCAAAAGCGCAATTCCAGCTCGCTAAGAATGAGGCCCATGGAGCCGCCGCCCCCCCCCCCCCCTTTCTCATCTTTGATAACATTCTGTTTCACTGGATCCAGTGAGCCTATCTGATACGCCCCTGCATACGCTCTGCTTCGCGCCCAATTTGCGGACAGCTGAGCTGGTATGTGAAGCAGGTCAGGTAATCGAGAAGTCCAGCCTGGGATCCGTTTTGACAGGCAGGTTTCGGCTCTCCCCAAAGAATGAAAAGCCTGCCAACCCGCTGCGGCTCTGTGTTGCATGTATATTTTTAAGCTTTTTCACGTAACGCCCACTCGTAAGCGTGGGCAACCTCCGGCACGTTGGGGAGGAGCGACTGTGGCAAAGTACAGGGGAATGCAGCTTTTTATGACCTTATGCAGCATCACATCGCTAAATTTTTACTTGGTATTGAGGTACGCCCATACGTTACCCTCCTGTTGGAGGGTTGGCTCCCTGGATGGAGGCTTGACCCCAACCCCGCGGCGAGCCCTATCGTCCATGGCCAAGCATTTGCCCACCTACCAGGGGCGTAGTTTCGTAGAAGAAGAGTGTGGGGCTTACTACGAGAAAACGAGCATCCCAATGGGAAAATATGCAAAAAACGGAATACACCCAATTTCACCAGCTTTTTTAACAATTTGGGGACAACAGGGCTCTCCCTAGCAACAAAATAAGAAACTGTACTTTTGCTACCCGCATGGTGTCATAACATTCACGCGTGTATCTACACGGTTACCCATCATCGAACCAGATCATCCTCACCCTCTTTCCACTGCCAATGGAAACTATGCACGTAATTCTCCCCATTTTTACAGAGAAGTGTGCAAAACATACTTATTCGAACGAGGTGTGAAAACAGCTCCTCTTCATTCTTGACATTCACTTAACAATATTCTGGGCAACAAGTAAGCGTAACAATAACTTCTTTATCTCACAAAGGCATCAGCGAAGGACCATGCCGTGCTTCCGCTCTCGCTTTTCAAAGCAAGTGACGGTCCACGTGCGCGACATTTAGTTGCTAACACTCAATGCAAACTTTGAAATAAAGGAAACTTGACAAATACAGTGCGGAAGCTGAACTATGACACCATTTCCCCAGCCATGCATCTTCACAAAATTTCGAGGCAAACGTACGACTGTTCAAGGTTTGTTGATTGCTTCATGGGTTCAGGCTGTTGTCATCTCAATGTTGCTATACGTTTTTACACGATTCGGCTGATTAACGTCACCGGGGATACACCTTCATGGCCTTTTCAAACATTCCTGCCCTTTAAGGTAAGACTTTCTGGGATTTTGCGTGTAAGTTGAGTCTATTTTGCTCAACTTCAGTTATTTTCATTCCTTCTGAGATTTATCCTTTTCCATTCAGGCTTGCCAGTAAATTAGAGAACCGCCATGTCGGATTGCAGCACTTTAAGGCGATTTATGCCGACGGGTCCACCGGTTGCCATGACGACGGCCTGACGCTTTAGAGCAGGCGCAAAGGCGGTCGAAGGTATAGTGGGAAGTATGAATCGTTTATTATTGAAAATATCGGAGGTACTGCTATTTCGAATAGTCAGTGATGTATTCGGGGCGAAGGCTGTTCTGTATTTTGCAGTGTGTTGTAAGTGTAGTGCGATATTTGTCTCGGAACGAACCAGTCGCAGTGGAACACATGGTGATTTCTACCTCCCTCCTTTCCATGCACAGTCATAGAGTTAATGGTCAATGCTGTCCGAAGTTGGAGGGCAGGGCCTATTCCTCTAACCTGCCGCCCGCGGTAAGAACCTCTGACGCTCCGACTCCCGGTTGGCGGTTTGTGTGTAGGAAAACGACCATTAGCGTTTGAAAACTGCATTTTTCATCATCTATCTGTCGAATACCACACCATAGATAAATCACAGATGTTGTACCAGTGGCGCACGCTGAGGAGGGAAGGCACAGAGCACGAGCCCCCCCCCCCCCCCCCCCCGCCTCTCCTCAGGCCCCGAGGGGCCAGAAGGGCCCACCGAGACTAACGATCAAGGACCCGATTGGAAGGCCTGAGGGCACGTAGGGGTGGACGGAGTCTTCAGAGGCCCCGACCTGCGGGGACGGGTCCTCAGATGGCAATCAGAGGGTCCTTCGCGCCTTTCGGGGGGCCCCTGAGTCGACAAGGGCTTATATGTCGGTCAGACATCACCAGTACCGCGCAATTGGCTCCGTGTTCACATGGGCCCGAGAACCCTCTTCTAAAGCAGCGACAAGTTCGAGGCCAGTGATGTACACTGGTCGGGGCCCCTGAATCTACCAGGGGCCCACAGTGTCTACTAGAGGGTCCTGTGTTGGTAAGTGATCCTAAGTCGGCCAAGAGCAGTGTTTAAAGAGGCCCAAAGATGGGTCCGGGGGCTCGCCGGGGCCGGCGATCGAGAGCCTGATTGGAGGGCGTGAGGGCCCGAAGGGCTGGCTATAAGTCACATCGGGGTCCTGGCTCGGCACAGCCCGTAGGGCCGTAACCTGAAATATCACAGGATCCTGAACACCAATTGAGGACCGTTTGAAACAATGCAGGTGTCTTTGCTGCCCGGAGACAATTAACACCGAACAGTCGGCTCCGTGTCAGTCGGAATCCTGGGAGCCCATTTCTCAAGCGAGAGCAAGGCTGAGGTTCGCGATGTGCATCAGTCTGGGTCTTTGAAGCAATGATCGTGGCACTATGTCGGTCATGGGTCCACGGTGCCTAACAGGGAGTTCTGCGTCGATAAGGAACTCCGTGTCGGCTAGGGGAATATTTTCTGAACAGGGATAGTGAAGGGATGCAGAATGCCGGAGGGCATTTGGCGTTGGTCGGGGCAACAACACAGCATTTCTTCAGCTTCCACTCAGCCTCATTTTGTGTCAGCCCAATAGGTTTAGATGTTCATAAAGTTTCACTCAGAATGGCACGTTAGCGCTCTGCAAGCTTCATTTCAACATCCCGTGAATTGGGGGTACTATGATAGCTGAGTTCAAAATTGCACGTACCAGTGTTTGAGCACTTAGCCTCACCCTGTGCCAGGTCAGTTCTAAAACGAACGGTGTAGCCGGACGAGACTACATTGGAAGGAAGTGGGCTTGACTACGCCTGTTGTGAATGTGCTAGGCATTAAACAAACGTGACGGGTGGAAAAAGCTACGCACGTTTCGCGTCACTAACAGTCTGGCAGCCCGTGCTGTGTGTTTTTCACTGTCGGAGCTTTTTCCATACTCAGGCCTGAATTTATCACCGGAACGTGAGCAAACCTGTCTGACTTTCGACGCATGAAGTTTCATGCTTAGCACAGAGCTAACCGTCTGAGCTGGCGTCGGGATCGCTTGCCTACTGTGTCAGGTGTCTCAGCTCCTGCGGATTACTCGCGACCAGCAGCGCGCCTAGACCGAGGGTGTTCAGCCGGCAGCGACTCAGTCACTTGAACATAGCAACTCAGCCAGCATCGACTGGCCAAGGCCCGGTGGAGGGATTGGAAGTCGCCAATACTGCCGCACTGCGCTCCATCAGCCGGAAGACCTATGCATACGTCCAGCATGTCATGAACGTCCCCCACTTCTAAACAGCACGCTATCAGGGTGGATGCGTGGCTTCCAAGTTCCAGCTCGATGCTGGCATCATCCATGCGGCGCTCCGGTTGCTGAAGCCGGCGCTGAAGACAATGGACCACCTCGAGTGCAACTGATCTTGCTTCTGCGTCAACGAGATGACATTTCATGGTCGGCAGTCGTATAACCAAAGCAATTTATCAAACGAAGAATATCGTTGTTTATTGATCCGCTGCATTCAGTGTGAATGGCCAAAAGCTTATGAACGTGAATTGCGGTGCGCCCTTGCATTCGGTTTTAAGCTCGAGCAAGTTTTGTCTGGTATATGCTGGGCAAATGTGGAGCAAACTAGCGGAACCCTTCGCATCATGAAACAGGCAACCGCTAGGGCCGAGCTATGGCAAATAGCTGGGCCCCAGTGTGCATTGACATAGCTGTTCCCGTTGGATGGAGCCGCACGAATGAGCCTTGCCAGGTCCAGGTCGGGAGCCCTGGCCGAGGAGCTTGAGGCACCTTGCAAGCTTCTCGCGCTGTTATACCCGACCGCACCTTGGAGATATATCAGCCAGGGGGTGGGAGATACGCCCGTACTCGCTTCGGCCCACTGCCCGAGGCCTTACCGACATGGCCATGTTGTATCGCCGTGTGATCTGCCCGAGCGAGGCCCAATCTGATGCCAACGGAGGCCCAGAATTACGGTGGATTCGCTTGGGTTAAGCTCTCGAAGAGCGGCATTTGTGACGCACAAAGTAAAGTGGCATCTCGGGGCTGCAGTTTTGAGTCTTTCAGACGCTTCTGAAATCATAAATAATTATTTGTGATAAGTGCTTCTCTGGCGTAAAATGCGACCGATCGTCTTCAATAGCTTGATTCCTGGGTCCTTTATTACCGCCTTCGCTCTTGTACTACACTCAAAACCAGGCATACTGTGAAGTGCATTCATTTCTTCATCTTTACCTTGATTTGACTAATCAGTCCACCCACGAAACGTGTTGTAATACACGCGGTCACTCACGTTCGTTACCATGCGTGCGGTTGTCCCGGAGTTAAAGGTGCACCCCAGTGACGTCACACAGAGAGCTTTGATTAGAAGTGCGAAGTGTGATGATAGCACCTGGTATGTATCGCCTTGCGTAGGTTCTGCAAGACGAATGCTCAATAGCACCTGCTTTAGGAGATAAGGTGCTTCCGCGTTTGTACCAAAAAAATTTCATAGCGCGAATAGTGTCATTGGAAACCTCGCAATAAATGTAAATGTAGTCACTGGATGAATGGAAGTCCCAATTGAACTGGTTCCGGTATTTGAATGTCCGCCGAACCCGAATACTTCGCAAGAAATTCGAATATGGAAGAATTTGAATTTAATGCTAAGATATTTTAGGACAGTGGGATATTTTGATCCACGAGGACCTAAGTAACGAACAACGCTTCAGAGTGTAGTATGGGAGCACTTTTTGCGTGCGCGCAATGGACAAGCGGCGGTCCTCGGGCCGCATATAGCACGCGAGCGCACCTGAAACGACCCGCTAGAGTGGTCGCAGATATGCTTCAATGCAATCTAACGGGAAACAAAATGGGTCAAGTCCGCACTTGGACTGCACATAGTGCGAACTCAGATCAGAAGCCGAAATGGTGAGGGTGGTTTACAAAACAAAGTCGAACATCTTACGGTGTGTCCCGCTTGCGTCAACCAAAATCGGCCATTTTGCGGTTCAGGCGAACACTGCATTTCACGAGACCCTAGAAGTTGCCCATTCCTGTTTCTTAGGTTCTATAGCTCGTTTTCACGATTAAGATGAAGGGAGGAGGATGTATAGAATCTGCCCATTAGCACAGACAGCACAAATTCTTCTCTCCGGCATAATCAAGCTTAGCCTTTTGAATACAAAAACGTTACGCTGGTAATATCACGACGACTGCATCTAATTACATGCGCTATCGTTCACTTTGCTCTGTGCGGATTATAACCATTTCATTCACCAAACACTGTAACGCACGTAAATATTCATTCTGAGCGCATCATCTCATGGTATCAGGGCATTGTACAGAATGATTTCGCTATAACTGACCTAAATTTAAATAATAATATAAAATTGTCCGGCAATACATATCAAGGATGGACCCACGACCATTATCAAGTGCATCGCATTTACTAATCAGACTCCGCAATGGGGCATAAATCCAGATAACAGGGGTCTAAATAGACGTTCGCTATTTGCGGATACGCTTGACTGGCATAATACAGCATCCCTGTCCTTTCAATGACTCGAAGCTGCTCATGGTCATAAAACGCTGCGTTCTCCCAGTGACACGTTCGGCGCACCCGACCATAAGACGTCCTTAAAACGTGCGCCGCCGGTCCGCGGTTGGGCTGGAGCTCGTGTCGACGC